GATGCTGTCAATTAGTTATTTTCTTTCTTTCTTATTAGTTTGTTTCTAGGGAGTGCCGCCAGGGGCATACTTGTAATTTCCATTCTTTTTATATTAAGTTAATATAAATAATGAACTGGCGGCAGCCAGGAGAAGGTTTTCTTTTTCTCTCAATCGTATCTTCCTCTTCTTCTCTTTCTCTCTCTCTCTCGTCTCTCTCTCTCCATGAATGATTACAGTGACCTTACGTCTGCTGTTAATGAAAACATGATATGGTCTTCTTTTGATGGAATTTCAACATTTTTTGATCAGCTATGGAATTTCATCACTGCCTGCACTGAACTGAACCAACATTTCTTTCTTATGTAGAAAACTATAAGCAGTAGCCATCTGCATCTTATAGCTTACAAAATAAAGAGTGGTACTGTGGTAGCTAAAAATTTTGGATCCTATGTTTATGGAATTGGAACTTTGTATTTTAGGTTTTGTGGTTATGTACAAGATTGGTTTAACATGTCCTGCAACTGTTGTTTCCCAGCAGGCATTGTGGCTAAAACCGGATGATCAGTTTTGCACAGAGATGTTGACACTGGCTCTAGTGGATGAGTGCCGGCGTGGTTCGGATCACAAAAATGAATCTCGAAGAAGCGATGTCCATGCTTTGTAATCAAGAATTTTAATATATATATATATATATATATATATATATATTCAAACATACTGTAGTTAATCTGTCAAATAAGTAAGGTATGCGATGGTCTAGTGGTTTTATTCATTGTTATTACTATTATATTTTGAAGTTGTACTGTTGTAGAAAGGTTTTCCTCTGTATCTCCTGTTTGTAATTTCATTTTGACATGTGTTATGCCATTTAACTTGTTTTTTTCTCCTTGACTAGTTGAAAGAATGTGTTGGAAAATTGTGAGAGTTCATTCAATGAGACAGCCACAAGGTGGTGGCAAATAATGCCTGAGAGAGGAGTACCTTACACGCCGAGGGTGGTTGTTGGGACGGGCCAACCGTGTGGGAGGTGGATTAGAGGTCAATGACTTGATGGGCTCCGAAATGGTGGTAAGGTAACTCCCATTAATGCTGATAGATTACAAGAGGATACATGTGATGTGGATGGTGTTAGACTTATTGTTGTTTTTTTTGGCGTCCATCAGGTGATTGACATTTCACATTGTTATTGTAACCTAACCACCATAAATATCGTTGGTCGGACTAATCTTAAAATAAAGCTCTCAGACCCGAAGGCGTCATACAAGTGGTTATACATCTTCTCAAGAAATAGTTTCTAGAAAGTGGTGTTTTCCACAATCCACACCGTGGTCCTTGAAAAAAGCGGGCCTAATTAATTTCTCTCTAAAAAAATACTTTTTTCAATACATGGTCATCTATTAAGAAACCCATTTCCAATGATGTGGGAATCATATTAACCTTTCTAATTTACTTTTCTGATTCCAATATGAGACCCACTTTTTTAAATCAAACAGGTGGTCATCAATTACAGATAAAACCTGATTCAATTTAGTAAATTAAATAAGAAATCAAGTGGAATTTTACGGTTTTACCAAATACGCGTAAACGGTGAATCTTAACTGAAGTAATAAATGGTGTGGGTAGGGTTGCAAATGGGTCGGATTCCATCTGATTTGCATATCGTTCGATCTCAAAAGAGCTGGATTTGGATATCCTTCCAAGTTAAATGCATTGATTGGGGGAAATTTGATCTATTAAGTTGCCTGGTCGAACTAATATGTATTCCGAGTCGATTTGATATGATCAGATTCATTGTTTATATGTATGATGTAAAAATATTTAGTCGTATCTTTTCATACTTAATTGCTATTTATTTATTTATTTGTAATTCTTTATTTTGCAATGTCTAAATATGTAAAATCATTTATGCTAGTTGTCCTAATTGTATCTTCCCCATTTGCTTGACGATCAAAAGTTTAATCATCAAAAATTCAAAACCCTAACCCAGACTACTCATCGTGCAAGCTTGGATGGAAACTCCTTATTCGCTGTTGGGGGCTCACTACGACCCTCTGCTGCCCGTTGCAACCTGACCTCTAAGAGAAGCCTGAAGTGACAATCACTATTTATTTTGTTTATTTTTTGAGTTAAGAACTTCGATTAGTCTCTCTTGTAAGAACCAGATGCTGATTGAGACTAAGGACATGTTTGTTTCCTCTTAACTCTCATCTCTTAAAAGGAATCTTTTAGTTTTAAGAGAAAATTGATTGTTCGCTTCCTCTTATCTCTTATCTCTTAAAGTGTAATCATACAACTTTTTGTTTTTTAATGATATACTCAAAAAGACAAACAAAAACTCTTATATATGGGGTCAAAATGGATATTTGATAGCTTTTAGAAATTAGAACAACATTCTTTGCATTCAGAGTTCAGAAAAAAGAAATTTTCACCAATACCAATATACTTCTTAATGTAATTATTACACTTTCAAATGTTAGACTTTAGAGCAAACGAACAGGCCCTGATATAGAATCTCCTTGCTAGGGTTGCAAGTGAGTTGGGTTAGGTTGGGTTGAGGTCAACCCTAGCCCAACTTGAGTTGTTAAACTCCAACCCTAACTTTGACACAACCCAAAGTTTTTAGGTTGGGTTAAGATCTGGTTGGGCTTGGGTTGGTCTGACCATCCAAGTTCTCTACTTACTGTTGTCAAATGTATTTGTTTTCTAGACCGTGTTCATGTTAATTCAATATTGGCATTATTAGTGTAAAAAAGAACATAGTTATCATTTTTGAAAAAAAAAGACTTTAAACTTAAAATTTTTTGGCATGTAGTATGCATGTATACATATATCGATAATAAATATGATATACATACATAAATACTTGTAAAAAAAAACATAAATATATAGATATATACATTTACGAATGCATAGTTACATACTTACATATACATACCTCCATGAATAAGGAATGTGTATATATAAGTACTTACAATGTTATATGCATAAATATATATTTATATAGTATTTATACATGCAATCTTGCTCACGGTTCACCACCAACCTGCCACTGTCCAGTGCAACCTGACTTGTAATGTAACTGAATACTTCTCTCCCTCTCTTTGGAACCCTAAGCCTCTATTTTTTTTTTTTTTTTTTGAGTTTAGATCTTACAACTATCAGGTGCAAATCGAATTTGAATTGGATATTTGTTAAGATGGAATAGATTGAATTTGAATCACATTGTGTAAACCCAATAGATTCTTATTGAATTTAAATTTTCCAGATTTTTTAGCAAATTGAATCAGATATACCACAATTCGAATTCGACCCGATCCGATCTGTTTGTAGCCCTAGGTGTGGTGGATCTATTCTACTAGATAAAGTGGGTTTTCAATTAAAAATAATACCTGATTTAACCTCTTTAAATCAAATAAGAAACCTATCTATCAAAAAATCATTTACCAAGCTTGACCAACCATTCTATTAAAAACAAGAGTTGTTAGTTACTTCCACTTTTTTTTAATACATGGTGTGGGATTCAAAGTAACACTAGCCAACCATTCTAATTTAATTTTCTATTTCAAATGCAAACAATCAACATACTAATTACAAAGTATTGGAAATGCAAATTTAAGAAATATATGAAGATACACTTAGGATACAAAAAAAAGGATACACTATGAAACTTCAATAAAATCTCAAAAGAATACATAAATAATACTAAATCCAAGTCTATATCATTATAAATAAGTCATATATACATAAGAAACATATTTAATTATGTGGAGTGAACTATTAGGACACATTTGGAAAATATTTAAAAAGTATAAAAGGACTAAATAAATATATATATTTTAATTCTTGGGACACCAATACAGTTTTAATCAATATTTTTAAATATATAAATTTTAATAATCAACACTTCTTTTAAAAAAATTAATTAATATGCACTACAAAGAGAAAATAGCTAAGGTGATATTTAGCACATGGTGTTATGTATTTATTGATGTTGCAAGTAGGAATTGCAATGCAACAATTGACTATTGTGTTTTATTACACATAAGCACCACTAGGCATCACACAGGTGAAATGGAAACACAACAATCAGAATATCAAAATGATGTTTCCACTAAGAATAGTGAATTTTATATAACCCAAGATAATAAAAAATATAAACGCTTGTACTTGATCAATTTATACCACTTGAGCACCGCACAGGAACCATTCCTATACTTATCATCGGAAGATATTCACAATACACAATTAAGATGTGCTGTGAGGCGCCGATGTGAATTGTATATGGTAATGCCACCAAAATGGATCGCACTATACACAACACCACGGTACCAAACACTCGTTAAAATATTAATGTTAAAATTTAAAACAGATCTATTCAATTATAACAAAGAAGTAGGTGTGGTAGCAAATAAAATAACATGTGTAGTTGCCCCGTAATTGCATTAACGGGGTTATTTCACCATAGATAGACATTGAGATTGTCAGTAATTTGTTATTTCAAAATTTTGAAAGGCCACAAGTAGAGTTTTCCTGCAAAAAGCCAAAACGTCATTAATTTTTTCCCTATGAAAGTGTTAAGGATTAGGAGTCCGTTCAGTATTATCTTATTTGTATATATCTTCTTATTCTTTCCTTATCATGAATAGTTCAGATAGGATAGGAAATATATATTTGTCCCTGTAAACTTAGGAGTTCTAGTTGCCATAAGCTTAGGAGGTTCGGTGGTTGTATTCATGTATATATACTTAAATTCTCAATGAATAAAATACAGAAAAGTATACACCAGAAAAGATCTAGTTTTACATGGTATCAGAGCCACGAAATAGGAGCAAGAGGTCTGCGTTCCAAGACTTCTGGAGATCAGTGGCGGCAGCAACGATTGTTAGGCGCTGCCAAAGGACAAGCTTTGCACTCCAAAATTTTGCGGGCTAACCTCTGCCTCTGCTTCTTTCTCGGTTGATTCTTCTTCATTCGAGGCCTGCGGGGCATTTAATTGCGGAATTGGTGGTGCCTTGCTTAACATACACTGGTGAATCTGCACCGTCAAAAAGCTTTGTAAGTGGGGGAGGGCATTAGAAACCAAGCAACATGTTCATACATGGAAATTCCAAGTTTTGTAATCAATTGACCTCNAACATACACTAGTGAATCTCATCAATCAATTTCTGACGTTCTGGAGTTCCAAATCTGGGGGCTGCTTCACGAAATTTGATGGCTAATGCACGTCTTTCTTCCTTCTTGTAATCCAATGAGCCCAGTACACCATCTGGGTTGGTGGGCATGAATGCAATCAATGCTACCAAAGCAGTTCTCACGCTCCAAGATGGCTGCCAATGCTCCGGATGATGATTGGATATGCTTAGACAAATCTTCGTTTGTGTTTCAAAATGACCATTAGGAGTTAACAGCATAAATGCAGGAGGTTGGAATGGATATTCTGCTGGCAATTGGATCCGTCTGTGATAGATTCCTCCCTCGAACTCTGTGTCACGGGGACCTCTGACCGCGAACTGCCACTCAAATATATCGGAAGGGTTTGCTTGCATCTCCTTCACCTCCTGAAGGATCCTCTTCACCGCTAGGTTCTTCAGGTTGTACTTCTCTTCCGCCATGGCGTAAGATAGAACACACCCTTCGATTTGGCCGTGGAAGGGAGGACGACGGACGTCGGCGATAAAGCCTGTAACAAAGGGACTCGGGATGCTTGAAGGTGTGTTGTGTTCCTTTCCTCTGCTTCAGCCAGACGAACCCGGCTTCCCTGTTGTAGCCCACCTCCTCCATGACGTCCAACGGCAATAGACCCTTGGGTAGCGATATCTCCTCCAAAAGCTGTAGTGATTTCTCCTTGCAGAGAGCGTCTCCATGGTAGATCTCCGCCTTCTCTCTGTAATTCTCAATCGCTTTACTCGCCATTGTTGTTGTCTGAGCTGGTCGCTAAGGCTTAGTTGGGGGCAGGCAAAAACAGAATTGACTGAAGAAGAAGAAAGCAAGAAAGGAATACGGGTCTGAGCCTGAGCCCTCGGAACAGAAGTTCGGTCTCCTTCTACAGAAGTTCCAACCTTCGACTTCGGTCTTCTCTTGGACGGTTCTTCTTGTGTGAGTAACAGAGAACTTGGGTGTCCGTTCTCGAACGCACTGATTTTTGACAAGTCTCCGACGAGTCAACGTTCTGCGGCAGGTTTTAGGGAGATCCTGAGATCGGTTCTTTGTCTCCTGTGGCACCGATCATGGGCTTTCAGACACAATAGTCGGCATGACTGAAAACAAAGAAAAAGGAGTAGGGGCAGGAGGAAAAGGTCGTGGCGGCCAAGTCAAGGCCCATACAACCAAAGCCTCTGCGCAAGGCAATGCGTCTCAAGGAGAATCAATTGATGCAACCAAGACTGGGTTAAATGGACTGAGTAGTGAGCAGTGGAACATGTTACTCAACCTTTTGAACACATAGAAAGAGGGGAGTCAACGACTAAGTGGTAAGCAAAAATTGATAGAATGGATAATAGACACAAGGGCCTCTCATCATATGACAGGAAGCCCCGAGTCGATGAGAGACATAAAGAATGTCATTCCGTGCTTTGTCGGGCTACCAGACGGGAAAGCGACAATAGCAGAGAAAAAAGGCACAGTTGCACTGGACGATCATCTGAAACTGACTAGTGTTTTATATGTGCCTAGTTTGAATTGCAATTTACTTTCCGTGTCGCAATTGATTGAGGAATCGAATTGTATTGTCCAGTTCACTAATAAATTCTGTGTGATACAGGACCGCACTACAAGGATGCTGATTGGAGCGGGTGAGCAGCGAGAGGGACTCTATTATTTCCGGAGCATTGCATCAACAAGAGCAATGAAGACTACAGAAAGCAGGACGAATGGTGATATTTGGCATCAAAGGTTAGGGCATCCTTCTTATAGAATTGTTAAGTTATTGCCTTTTATTAGTACTAAGAATAATAATGATGACAGTATTAAGGGTTGTGATGCATGCTTCCGAGCTAAACAATGTCGAGAAGAGTTTGTTTCTAATAATAATAAAGCATCCGACATTTTTGAGTTAATTCATTGTGATTTGTGGGGTCCTTATAGAACTGTAGCTTCTTGTGGGGCTCATTATTTCTTGACCATAGTAGACGATTTTTCTAGAGGCGTTTGGATTTATTTTCTGGGTGATAAGACGGAAGTGGGACGGGTTCTTCGAAATTTTTTTGCTATGGTTCAAAGGCAATTTAACAAACCTGTGAAGGTGATCCGTACTGATAATGGGACTGAGTTTGTATGCTTGGCTAGTTATTTTGCTGAAAGTGGTATTATTCATCAAACCACTTGTGTCGAGACCTCTCAACAAAATGGGAGGGTTGAACGCAAGCACCGCCACATACTCAATGTTGCCCGAGCTTTGCGCTTTCAAGCCAGCTTGCCTATTGATTTTTGGGGGGAATATGTCCTGATCGCATGTTATTTAATCAATCGGACACTGTCCATTCTGTTGAAGGGAAAGACTCCCTATGAAATGTTATTTGGGCGACCTCCTTCTTATGATAATGTGCGCGTTTTTGGTTGCTTAGCATATGCACACAATCATGGACATGGAGGGGATAAATTTGTCAGTCGAAGCAGACGGTGCGTTTTTGTTAGGTATCCTTTTGGAAAGAAAGGATGGAACCTGTATGATTTAGAGTCCAGCATGTTCTTTGCATCAAGAGATGTTACATTTTTAGAGCATGAGTTCCCATATGCACACAGGGAAGATGCACAGCCGAACAAACCACAAGGCCAATTTAATTGTGGAATAGGTGGGACAGATGAGGTGTTGGTGCCATCCACTTATTTACCTGGACTAGCAAATGGCGAGATAGAGGCTAACCAGCGAGGTGAACTCGCTAAAGAAGGAACCCGTGTAGACCCGAATGCAAATGCTGGTGAACCCATGCATTCTTGTGACGCCACCACAAAAAATGCAAGCGAAGACGGTCCTGATGTCAGGGGGGTGGCAATGTTGAGCAACAACAACACTTTGAATTTCAACAGCAGCACTCTGAATTTCATTTGGGGTGTGGGCATCGACAGAAACAACAGTCCACAAGGTTGAGAGATTATGTGCTTCACACCACACAACGCTTGAGTCCCTCTCCGCGTCCCTTTGCAAGCTCACTCGGCCAATCACATTCTGCAGGTAGTCCTTATCCCATAGATAACTATGTGAACTGTAACAATTTTTCTTGTCGACATCGTGCTTTTTGGCAGCTATTACTACAGGAGTTGAACCTACTTCTTTTGCTGAGGCCATAAAGGATGAAAAATGGAGGGATGCAATGCAGAAAGAAATACAGGCACTTGAAAATAATCAGACATGGGCTGTGGAGTCTTTGCCATCCAAAAAACGAGCCATAGGATGCAAATGGGTGTATCGAATCAAGTATAACGTTGATGGGACAGTGGAAGATACAAAGCCCGTCTCATGATTTTTGGGAACAAGCAAGTTAAGGGAATTGATTATAATGAAACTTTTGCCCCAGTTGCAAAAATGGTTATTGTCCGTACCTTCCTTGTAGTCGTAGTAGCTAGAAATTGGGAGCTTCATCAAATGGACCTACATAATGCATTCTTGCATGGTGACCTTCATGAGGAAGTCTACATGCAAATGCCTCTTGGTTTTCAGTCAGATAAACCAGGTATGGTGTGTCGGTTGCGAAAATCTCTGTATGGCTTGAAACAAGCGTCGAGATGTTGGTTTGCTAAATTAATTGCAGCCTTGAAGACATATGGGTTTCAGCAATCATGTTCAGATTACTCCCTCTTCACCTTTCGTCGAGACAAGGTGCATGTGCTTGTTCTCGTGTATGTGGACGACATTATCGTGTCAGGTAATGATCGTATGGCAATTCAAGTCTTCAAGAAATATTTGAGTGACTGCTTCCATATGAAAGACTTGGGACCATTGAAATATTTTTTGAGCATTGAAGTTGCCCGAAACTCATCAGGAATTTTTCTGTCTCAACGTAAGTATGCTTTGGATATTATCTCTGAAGTTGGATTACTTGGTGCAAAACCTGCTACTTTTCCTCTGGAGCAGAATCACAATCTCGCCTTGACAGATGGGCCTCTCTTATCTGATCCTGAGCGATACAGGCGCTTGGTAGCATGCTTATTTATCTTTCAGCAACTTGTCCAGAGTTGTCTTATTGTGTGCATGTTTTGTCCCAATTTATGCAGCAACCGCAAGAAAGACATTGGGAGGCCGCATTGCAAGTGGTGCACTACTTGAAAGGAAATCCTGGTCAAGGAATTCTCTTGCGTTCAGATTGTGACTTACATTTATATGCATGGTGTGATTCAGACTGGGTGAGCTGTCCTTTGTCTCGACGTTCTCTGTCTGGATGGTTTATTTTGCTTGGGAAATCGCCTATTTCCTGGAAAACTAAGAAGCAACACACTGTGGCTCGTTTTTCAACGGAAGCAGAGTATCATGCTATGGCCACGGCCACGTGTGAATTAAAATGGCTGAAGGGATTGTTATTGTCTCTTGGAGTTATGCGTTCAAACCCAATGCGATTATATTGTGATAGTCAGGCAGCCTTGCATATTGCAGCAAACCCAGTGTTTCATGAGCGTACAAAACATATTGAAGTTGATTGCCATTTTGTATGTGATGAGATTCAAAATGGTTGCATTCGTCCTGCTTATGTGTCGACTACCGTTCAACTGGCTGACATTTTTACAAAGGCATTGGATCACTGAGAATTTGAATACTTTCTCCGCAAGTTGGACATTCACAATCTGCATTCTCCAACTTGAGGGGGGGTATTAAGATTAGGAGTTCGTTCAGTATTATCTTATTTGTATATATCTTCTTATCCTTTCCTTATCATGAATAGTTCAGATAGGATAGGAAAGATGTATTTGAGTCGTTGTAAACTTAGGAGTTCTAGTTACCATAAGCTTAGGAGATTTGGTGGTTGTATTCATGTATATATATACTTAAATTCTCAATGAATAAAATACAGAAAAATAAACATCAGAAAAGCTCTGGTTTTACAGAAAGGGGGAAATTTTGGTTCTCCCTGCTTGACACGTTTGTCAATGTGACAAAATTAATGCTTTAAGCATCGTTACTATTGCATTGAATTCATGGTCTAATGTGTTGAAAATCCTTAAGCCTGAGCTGTGTAATCGAGAAATAAATAGAGACCGTTGACCATTTCTTTTGTTTTTGTACTTTTGCCTCCTGTTCGTGGTTGGTTTGGCTCTCCGTGGCCGTGGGGTATACGGTTAATTAATTTATTAATTTTATTTTCTGGTAGATGGAGTGAATCCTTCTGTTTCTGTGGCTAAGGTTGTGTTTCGTTGCTTGTATTGATGCAACCGTGCAAATTTTGACCTATTTTTGTTTCAAATTTTAATTTATTTTATTTGATTGCAATATAAATAAAGTGAAATTAAGATATGAAACAGATTAAAGTAAAACCCAAAACAAAATTTAACAAGAATTTGTATTTTTTTTTATTTGCACTCCTATTCATTTATACTAGTGCAAATAAAATTGCACTACAACCAAGTGAAGTTCATGAGGTCTAGAAGGTAGGTAGGGCCAATTACTTGCGATGCTCAAGTTGTGAATCCGGTGTCCTCAGATAGAGTGAGATTTGTTGCTTCTCCAACAGTCCATGATTCTTGCATCTCTGAGGTTGGTGGAGTTGGGGCAGGTGGCAAGTCTTGTTGCAATTGAAGAAGGGAAATTAAGTTTCTTGGAGTAGTGACTCTGGTACTTGGGGGTATAGACAAGATGAGAGATTGGTTATGAGCTAGCTAGAGAGTTAATGAATGAACCAAACACAAGCAGAACATCCAATTTCCCCACGAGTGGTGATGGTTTTGAATGGTCCTTTATTGATATATAGTTTAGAATATGTTCTTCTTGGCTGCCGAAAATTGAAGAAAGCTAGTGGATCTATATGATGATGTTGTAGTGAAGCCTCAGAGCCGAGGGGTGGTATCCTAGCTCGGACCTTTAGTGGTTCGGGTTGTAGTTTGTGTTTGGCTGGTGCTGTGTCTAGTTCGGCGGGTGTTTTGTTGTGGCTTGGACTATCTTGTCCGTTTTTTCTTTTTTTTTTTTAAAAGCTCCTTTTATTGATTTTTCTTTGTTTAGTTTTTTCGAAGAAAATATCTATTCTATTATTAAAAATGTGAATGAGGTTTAGGTTCTGGATTTTTTTTTTATTAACTAAGATATCCATATTTTTGAATTTGGTTCTTCTTTATTATGATGCCAAGAAAAACGTTATTTGAACTACTACTTTTATTAAATTTATTTTTTTCTCTATCATTAAGTCATATATTTAAAATATTAATTATTACTCCCTTTCATTAAATCTTATATTTAAAGTATACTAATTAAATGAGATTTGTGGACTTTTTCTTGATTAAAACACCTATGCTTTTGAGTTTGATCCCTCTCCAACAGCATATGTAATTTAATGTACTATTAATTTTTCACTTTATTTAATTCCCTTTTATTAAGGTGTTAACCATAAGGACAGAAAATTAGTTAAAATTTTATTATTTTCACATCATTCAATTCCTTTCTATTAAGTTTTTAATTTCCATTTTCTCTCCTTAGGTCCTTTATTAGAAGTATAAATAATTGTTCACATGCTTTGCATGTGGCAATTTTTTATGATGATGATAGTAAATAATATGTTTTCAAATTGTCTACACTTTTTAATATTCCTATGTCTATAAAAGTTATTCTTGTTTTGTTTAATATGCTGAATATATGATATTAGAGATGCACCCAAATGTTTTCTACAAATTTATATATATATATAAAACTATATATATATATATATATATATATATATATCTTTTGCATATTTTTGTGTTTTTATATTTTCAATTTTTGTTATTTAATTATGACTTCACAGGTTGACACATTTGACTTGAAAGGTATAATTGTGGATCTACTACAAATAAGAAAATAATTTGACTTTTGAGTTAGTTGATTTTAAAATTGTACTTTATCTTCATCATTAACAAAAGTTAAAAAAATCTTGTTTATTGTTTTAAATTTTAATATGATTAATATAAAATATAAGAGATGTTTCCAAATGTTTTCTATAGAGTTTATATGTTTTTTTTGTATTTTTATATTTTTCTTTTACTTTTTATTATTTTATTAGAAGATCAAGGGTTGATACATGACCCGAAAGCTTGAGTTGTTGATCTGCCACCAAGAGAGCAATTTTATTTTTGGGTTGGTTTTAAATTTTATAATTTATTTCCAACATCAAAAAAATTAGTGTGGTAAATAATAGTTGTTTTAATTTATGTCATTTTTAGGCACACCTCTAATATTATATATTTATCGTACTAAAAAAATAGTATGATAGAAGTAAATGATGTAAATGAAAAAATCAAATTAAAACTGACCTAGAAATGAAACCATTTTCCTATTCAAGTGGTGGGTCAATGGTTCAACCTTTTAGGTCAAATGGGTCAATCTTGATGTCATAATTAAATAACAAAAGCTTTAGAAAAGACAAAGCAAAAATAATTATTAAAAAATATTGAACTTTTATAGAAGACACTTGGTTTCATCTCTAATATTATGTATTCAACTTATTAAACAAAAATAAGTGTGATAGTGGAAATAGAATAAAAATAAAATTAACTTGAAAAGAAAATTATTTTTCTATCTAATTGGTGGTCAATGGTCCATAAGAGAGCAAATTGGATAGGTTAACCCGAGTCTGGACTGACTCAACTCACAATTTTGGACAAGTTATCTTGGACTTTTGGTTGTTGGGTTGGGCCTACGCCTAGCCCAAGTTGCCCAAGCCTAACCTAACAATTGAGGCAGAGCTATGAGTTTTTCTTGGGAGGTGGGGGGCAAGAACTAATAAACATGGATTGTGGGGGTTAAAAGTTAATAAACATTCATGGGGGGGGGGGGCAAAAATATAAGTGCGATATAAATGGAGATTGTGGTAATTTTCAAGGCAAGGGGGGCGTGGCTCTCTCCACCGTCCCTGGCTCCTCTCCTATTGACAATATTCAAAATACATAAATACACATACATATATAGAAACATATTAATTTGCTTACATGCATGCATACATATACATTTATGTCAAAAGTTAGCATGGTGTTGATTGACAAACTCAAGTTTAGATCCAATTTGAGTGCAAGTTCGGCCTAGGTTATAGGTCAGGCCCACCAATATTGGGTCTGAATTGAGCTTAAACTCGGTTTAGTCTGTCCGACTTGCACCATAACAGTTCAATTGTTTGGATAAAATGGGTCAACCAATGATGCTATAATTAAATAATAGAAATTTAAAAATAGTACAAATACAAAAAATATATAGAAAATTGGTATATCTAAAATATTGTATTTGTTTGTTCTGTATATCTAAAATATTTTAAGTTTATCATATTAGACAAAGATAAGTGGGATAAACAAGAATTATTTTTAGAATTAATTATGTAAATGGAAAAGAAAATTTAAAGTTATGAAGAAATGAGATTCGTTTTTCTTTTAAGTCAAATAGGTCAACATATGATGTCATAATTATATAGTAAAAACTAAAATAAATAGAAATAAAAAATTATAGAGAATAAAAACAATTGTACACATCTCTAACATTATATATATATATATATATATATATATATATATCATATTAAACAAAAATAAATGAGATAAATAAAAAATAATATTAATATTAATAATTCTTATCTAAAAATAGTTAAAAACCCCAAAATAATGCATGCATGGTTTGTGCTAAGTTTGATTTAGTCTAATTACAAATATCACATTGCTCTTAGGGGTGTAACTTAGGGGGTTGGGTCAGGTTGAGGATCAACCAAAGTCCAACCCGAAGTCTTAAACCTCTAGCTCAGTCTTAGATTAATCTAATTATGACTAAAAAAGGTTAATCTATAGATTAATTTAATTATGACTACAACCTAACTTTATATATTTACTAATATTTAAGTAACATTTACAAAAAATTATAACACTAAATCATTAATAAAGTAAAACAAATAAAATGGAACATTAATAGATAATATGGGAAAATAATTATTTTATCAAGTAATTGGAAATAATTTATTATTTTTGTTAAAAATTATTAATATAATTAATCCAAATTACTAAATAAGAAATTATTAAAACAAAGATAAATTATTATTTTTAACAACATTACATTCCCTTCCTTATAATAGTTATCAGTTTTTATTTTAAAACCACCATCACACAATGCTTTCATTACTATCTTTTCTAATGAATTGTAATAAAGATATTGAAATTATTGTTGTATCATGTGGAATGCACATGCATATTTAATTAATAGTATCTCTAAATTTCATTACGTTGAAAGATGGTCCCATAAGCCTATATTTTATTGCGTGGTCTAAAATTACTCCCATGTAGCTCGACCCTTGCAACAACCTTAATTTACCTTGTTGCCCTCTTCATAGTGGTTGCTGTTACAATTTCTAATTTAGTCCAAGTCTGATGTATATTTTCCAGCTAATTATTTATGGTGCATTTCTCTTGCTCTCTCTTTTTTAAATCGCATCTACTCATAAAATGCGTGTCACACTTACCTCACAACATGTTTCAGCCGTGCATCTAGAATATCTTTCTATGATTTATAAAAGATTTGAAATAATTGGAGAGAAAACTTACAAGGGCTTCCGCCTTTCATTGTACTTATATAATACAAGAGTTTTGGTTATAATCTAATTGTACACTTGGCAGAGATTAGATTACAATAATGATAAGGATAACAGTGGTGATAATCATAATGATAAAGACTGAGTTAAAGTGGGAAACTTGATAAGGAGATAAGGTTCGATGGCTGGGTTATGTGTCATGTGGGCTTGGGCCCGGTCTCCTCAACAATTTAAACATTTACATATACGAAATATTCTGGTTTTCTATGCAGAGGCAGCTGTATTTTTTTTTTGGCACTCCGTATGTTTTCTGTTGGTTAAAGTCTTAATTCATCCAAATTACACCTGAAATTCACTCTCCATCACTTATCGGGATTTGAGCACTCCGAGGGCCCTATTTGGGACCAATCCAATTGTGGGTCCTGAACTTCTGAAGGCCCAACTTATGAGTCTATTCTGTACTTCATGGTTAATGCATTTGCTTTTATAACATAAAAAAAAAGAGAAGAAAAGGGAAAAATAGAATATATATTATCACACAAAACAAGAAATTAATTATTTAGTTGGATACAACATCTGATGGACAATCTGTTTGAATAGAGGAAACATAAACCACCAAATGAGGGAGTCCATATATATATATATATATATATATCTGATAAAGCTATTATTAATTAAGGTATGATATATGACAACATACATGCCATTAGAGAAACGTTTACGTACGTGAATGATCAATTACGTATACCCTTTGAGAAAGGGCAGCCTTGAGAGGAGGAGGAATTCAAGGGAGGGTGGTTGTGTTGTGGTTCTTGTGAACCCGAGGCCACTGGTCCTTTCATCAGACCTCCAAACAGCTCTCCCGGGTCGAAATAGATCTCAACCTCTTCAGCTCTGAGAGTCTCATCAACCTGTGTGTAGCAGATACGGAAGTAGTTTTAAGTATTAACACCAATAAAGTCAATACCAATTGGTTCATATTGACCTGGACTCTTCAAGTTCCGAATCACTGGATTACCTCTCTTTGGGAAAGATCGAAATTACTTACATCAGTAGGCAAGTTCTGGTCTGGGTTCCCCATGAGGCCATGACTTGCCATCTATCGCAGATCAAGACCCACAATTCATGGGTCCCACTAAAGATTAACTTTGCCAAGAATCATCTCGAAGCCTCGCTCACAAGTCACATCTAGAGGCTTGGGTTTTGGAAGCAAATACGTTAAAGAATTGAAATTAACCATCTTACCATGATAGGTTTTGGCGTAATTCTACTCTTAGCTAGGTTGGACCCAACCAATGGTGGTCCTAATTTTCTGAACATATGCCACGTGGCAAGTTAAAGGCCCCAGACTGCAACTAGCGGTCATGTCATGTGTCACCAGACTCGAGTCATTCTCTTCTAGCAATTAAATTCATTTGAGTTGTGTGAATAATCAGGCTCCCATCTTGGGCAGGTTGAGTGTTCGGGTGCTATACACCCGAAGTACTTCCAAATGCCAACAAATCTTTGCACAAATCGATCCGCTTGGTTATGGGTTAGATCACACAAACCTAAACTCCAAAACCAAGCTCGTGGGTAGGTCAAGATTCAAGATGCTCAGAGCCAACCCAGAAAATGCCTGAGTCAAGCATGCATTAAAATGAACCAAGGAGGCATGGTTAACATTTTAAGAGTTGTTTAGTGCTTGTACGTACCTTGAGAACTCCCATCCCATAAAACTCAACCTTGTTTCCAGTTGGAGCATATCCTCTGAAAGGGCCTTCCATGAATCCCCAGTGTCTGAACTTGAAAGCTATCACAGGCGGTCCGGAGTAGACGTTCAGCACCTCCCACGCAAACCCACGAGGAAAAGCCGTCCGGAAGACGTCGTGAGACGACTCAAAGCTCTCCACATCCGCCTTGTAATATTGGAGTTCCTCTGGAAGAGAAGTCTTCAACAGTGCGTTGTAGCTCCCAAGTCTTAGAGTTTCTTCCCCCGATATTCCTTCTCTCCCTGCGACAGGTTTCAAAAACTTTGTTAATTAATTTGAAATGCTTATTGAGATGAAGAAGAAGAAGAAGAAGAAGAAGAAGAAGAAGAAGAAGAAGAAGAAGAGAGACTTTGCAGCTTGGGTTCTCTCACCGTTGACGAACAACTTGAACTTCTCTGGATTTATGGTTTTGAAGTCTTGCAGTTGTGTCTTATGAGAGAGCTCCATCTCCCATGTCTTAATAGCATTTTGTACAGTTTCCTCTAGTGATCCTTTAGGCCATTCCTGTAAAACCAGAGTAGATGATTACGAGGGAAGGGAAATGTCCAATAATGGGTTTATCTTTATCTTTTATCTCCCCCCAAAAACAGATGAGATTGAGGGGCAAAGAATTAAAAACTGTAGCAAATCCTTAATTAAAATGCATAAATTAACGATGCAAACATTAGAACAGACAAGTGAAATTATATGATCGATCCACATGCAACAAGAAGAACAAGAACAAGCAATAGATGGAAACTTTTATGGGGTGCACTTAGGCCACCTTGGTTCGGCCTTGTTCGAAGACTTGGTTAACCAGATCATAGGTAGGAGGGCTACCATGTCTCCATTTTGTTTTCTTTTCTGCTTCCCCATGCATGTGAGATCGGTACTTATCTGCAATAGTGCTACCTGAAATTTCCTCTGAGGAAGACATGATAACAGACAGAGAGAGAGAGAGATGAAAACAAGGCCTAAGAGAGGCATTTATAGGAAAGGTAATGGAGCAGGAATGGACCAGCTTTGGTTTTTCTTATCCCAAACCATGGGTGGGTAGCATTAGCATTAGAAATTGAAAATACCCTCTTCAAGAGAGAGAGAGAACAAGAAAATCAAAGTGGTATCGATTAAGATAAAGCTACATCTTGGTGCGGTCACATCAATAAATCTAAGGCCATGCTTCCACATAACCGGATGCAGTTGGGTAGAAGAGGGTCACATGTAACCAGATGAACAGTATTGTATCCTCCTGCGGTTCATGAGATACATCCTATTCATTTTTTCAACGTCTGGTATTGTGAGAAATCACATTCAAGGATTCCTAAGTATAATTGTGTGAAAAGAGGGATAATATTCGGTTTTCTGAAAAGGAAAGGAAAAAAAAAAAAAACTTAACAATTTTTACTCATATATGAGTAGGATCTTGATGGATTAATTGTTGACGGAGTGGTCTTTATCTAATAATATCATATATATGTATATGACGGGAGGTCTAGTGTAGTCCAATTTGAGAAGAGAGGTTGGGTGTATTTCAAGGGACAGGTGTCAAAAAATTTAAAAGTGTTTATTGAATGTGCTTACAATTAGGTGCCTAACTATTCTCTTTTCTCCTTAATTTTCTCTCTCTCTTCTCCCTGTTCCCCTATTCAAGTTTCTCATTAGGCCAAGTAAGCAGGGCTATCAACCATCCCTAATTAGCCATGACATCCTTTATAGCAAGGATTCAAAATCTTGATATAAATGGGAACTTACTAAACAGTACCTACGTACAGCTAAAGGAAACCTGCCAAAATAGTTTCCTTCTCCTTACCTTTTGCACTATTACTAAAAAACCTCATTCTTCCCTAATAGAAATGAGATTCTGTGAAAATACAGTATCCAAAAAGGAGACATCGTTCTTCCCCAAATCTTTATTCCCCTACTTTGGATCGGTTATCATTTGTTTCCGTTCCTGTTTTGAATCGGATTCTCTTATACTGAAGACACTATGCCAAGATAGGTTTTGATTTACGTTTTCAGCTTTCTCTTTTTGCTACAAAATCTTTAAGTTTAGAAACTATTTCTGTTAGTTTTAATCAAGCACTAGTAGAATGGCGTGCGATGCACGGGATATTTGAATCAGGACTCAAATAAATTAAAAAAATCTCAACAAATTACCATGTGCATGAAAGGATCATGGCTGCTATATTTGTAGATAATTCCAGTAATCGAAATCCTTGCAGAAGAACTTTTGTGAACAATGTGAATGTTCAGATTGTATCTGCAAAACAAAATGAAAACTGGGACAATTGTGTGATATGTTTCTTCAAAGCATTTGACACAGTTCTAAGATTTTCAAAATTCAGTTTTTATGATATTTTAGTTTGTTCTAATTGAAAGGATACAAACAACAATTCTAACATGTTATAACTAAAAAATACAAAATAAGAAAAAAAAACATGAACCTTACTCATGTAGAGGTAATATCTTAATGCAAAAAATTAAGAAGCGCCCACTAGCAATTATGGCAGTGATAGCAACAATTGCCTTAACAGCTGCCAATCCAAGAGCTTCTGTTATATCTTGAAAACCAATATGTACACAGAAGACAATATTGTCCCACAAATGCCACAAAATAATTAGAAGATGCTTACCATTAAAATGAAGATGTGTCATAAAAATCATAAAGATATAATTATGTACCTAAAAGTTGAAAAGAATTATAAGATGCCATACAAAATCTAAACTAGGGGTTGGATCATGACATCAGAAAAAAAAAAAAGAAAAAAATCTAAGGAATGGAAGTAAAGTTATCAACATAATGGAAGATTTGATAAATGGAACTAAGCAGTTTAGATATTCAAAAGATAAATAGAAGAAAAGTGTAATTAATTGTGATGCCAACCAAAATGAACAAATAGTAAAAAGATAATATCTTCATGATACCCGAGGTCTTGATTAAATAAATAGAGCATCTTTGGTGTTATCTAATATTTGAACAAGTTCAGCACTTTTGATGTTAACATGGCAAAACATATCTTAATACCATATATTGTAGGGACATTATAGCATATTCTTTGGGAATGGAACACATTCTATGCTTACCTTTTACTGTAAAACCATACCATCAGATAACACTTCTTTTTTTTGGATTTTGAGAGGGTGGAAAGTTTATTTTCCTAGGTATTACTTACCGGGTAAGTGATACCCATCTCCTAGGTGGGTAAATAAGTTTTTCACTTGGGGAAAAGTTGCCAACACTTGAATGGTTTACTCGGGTAAGTCTTTCTTGGGAAACACTTACTTGGGTAAATGCACTTACCCGGATAAATAACTTACCTAAAAGCAAATGGAGCCTTCAAAAAAAGGATCTTCAATCCCCTGCTAAACCAAGATACAATGTTCAACACAAGATTTTTTTTTTTTGTATTATAAATATTCAACTTATTGTCTTGTATCTATCTTTGAAGTTATAAGTTTTAATCCAACAATTTTAACTTGAAAAGCACAACCTTTGTTAGTCATGTGTACCTTATATTTACTCCATATCCATTTTGGGTTACTACCAAAAGGAAGAAGAAGAAGAAGAAGAAGAAGAAGAAGAAGAAGAAGAAGAAGAAGAAGAAGAAAAAATTGGGCACTTCAACTCAACTTTTAGGCTAAGTTCCATGACTAACAAATGGTTTAGTGATTCATTTCCTATATCAAGGCAAGATTTGATAATTTTAATTGAGTTCAAGTCATGTGACATCGTTACAATCTTTTCAAGAAAATTCCGTTTCACAACTTTGTCCAGAACTTTAACTAGTTCAAGATTCCTGGGTCATGTAGACAATTTGACTCAATCTTAATCACAACTATTGGGGTTAGCTACACAAATCCTATCATGCCATCGTGCTCCATCAAGAGCCATGTTTTCTGTCAAATAGCAAGTCCTTAACATTTCAGGACTTGTCTTCATATTGTATATTTGGACTACACTTGGTATCTTAGATCTTTGGGTTCTGTATTAATTATTAATTATTTTAATATTTTTGTTAACATTAATTATTTTTTATTAATTTTACTTGAGTTATTTATTAATTATTTTTATTAACTAGTAATTTTTAATTATTTCATTAATTTTTAAAAATTATTTTTAAATTTTATTTGTGTAAATTATTAATTATTAATTATTTTAATAATTTTATAGCCATTAATTATTTTTTAAATTTTAATCGTTTCATTTATTAATTAGTAGTTTTTAATTTATTATTTTTATTTGTATTGTTTCAATATTATTTTGAGGTTGAAAATTATTTTTTATGAAATAATGCAAATTGAACTCAACATTTCCAAATAGTATGTTCTAGGGGTAAAATAATAAAATTTGTGAATTTCAAATGATAAATGATTGATCGAACACAAACAAACTTATGGATTCAGAACCTCTAGAAAGTAAAAAGCCATCTATACTTTTTTTTTCAGATTTCGGACACTATCTTTTTAACATACTTTTCATATCTAAAATTTCATATTTATCAAACACCACAAAGTCCCACTACTTCAAATTCTAGTGTGTGGGAATGGTAGTATAGCTTAAATGGGGACCAAGTCTGTATTAAGAATCAAGTTCTCGAAAAAAATGCCTTTATTCTATTGCCGGACTATTTAGGAGAATAGGAATAAAAAAACCTTTGGTAACACTTCAAACCCTCCCCATGTAATAATCGACTGAGCCTTTTCGCTTTGTTCTGAATTTTGAAATAACATAAGGAGAAAACAACCTTTGGTAACACTTCAAACCCTCACCATGTAATAATCGGCATGGGAAGCCCATAACCTCACGCTTAACTTCAAGGAATTTTTCCCATCATGGCGATTAAGGAGTTTTAGTTTAAGTTGTTTTGATCTCGTAGACTCGCGTTCGATCTGAAGATGGAAGCGAATCAAGCGGCAGACCTCCTCACTCATCTAGTTATGGAGGATAGTTTGGAGTTTGGACTATCTTTTAATTTGAATCCTTGGGGAACGTGCTACTCCCGGCTTGTGTAGCATCTCCGATTTTTCATAAAAAATAATAAAGAAAATCGGATTATAAAAATCTACTGGCGAATAAGATTCTTAAAAACGGATCAAATGAGATCCGTTTTCGAAAACCCGTATTATTTCTTGATTAAATGACCCATATTGTACGGTTATGTATTGTAGAAAGGTCCCACCAAAGAGTCTTGGACGTTTATTTTCTGTATCAGTGGTCACCGACCATTGATTGGATCTAATGACTTCGGTATCCTTGGCTTACTTTTAACTTTTAAAATGGGCATCTATCAAGTCATTGATTGAATCTAATGACTTCGGTATCATGTCACCGACCATTGATTGGATCTGTGCACATCCTCAAATTCTACAAATGAGGCATACACATAATCATTACCGTAAAGTGAAGAGGCATGCAATCACTTAATTGTCTAAATGAGGGCCAATTTTTATTGGGTTTATGTATCCAATTTTTGTTCATTACTGTATTAACAGTAAATATATATTAAGAATAAATTAATCAATAATCATTAAAATATTCAGATTTTCCGTTAGTTGCAAACAGTAATTAATAGAAATGAATATGAATATTAGTTAACAAAAATTAAATTTTAATAGAATCTCAACAATAATTAATTAACAGAAATTTAATTTTTATTATATATATATATATATTAATTTGGTGTTAATTTAGTAGATTTTTCCTGTTTTAACTCTTTGATTTTTTGTTAATTTAGTATTAACAGTAATTAATTAACAAAAAACTAATTTTAGTATTTTTTTTGTTAATTTGGTATTAATTTAGTAGAAACTTTCCTATTTTACTGTTTATTTATTTTTTGTTATTTTAATCCTCGCATTGATTAAAAAAAATAGAAATTTAATTTTTAGTATAATTTATTTGCTAATTTGGTATTTAATTAGTAGATTTTTCCTTCTCTTACTTCAATTAACAGTAAATTAATATAGATTGCTATTACTAAAATATTCAAAATTTTGTTTTATTTTTTATTTTTCTGTTATGCAAATAATAACTAATAGAAAGTTTGTTTTAATTTAATTTAAAACCTCCCTAATACTCTGACATCTTTTCCCGTGCATCACACGGGACCCCACTAGTTGTTAATATAGCATTTGAATTCTTGTTGGGGACACATTCTTCACATGGGCTTGGGATGCCATAACTTAGGGGTGTCGATTGGACTGGATTTGGTCCAACCCGATCCAGTCCAATGTGAGTCCATTACAAATGGACCAGGTTCAATCCAATCCAATGAATAATTTGGATCATTTTGGATCGGTCTAATTCAATGTTCGGACCATCCAATTTGTTTATATTCATTTTAATTTAGACTGGTTTCAACTCAAACCCGGTTCATTGACACCTATATTCTTATCTTATATCAATGGACCAGATATTGGCTCAATCCAATCAAATCCAATAAAAACTTATTACGAATGGACCAGGTCCAGTCCAATCTAATAAATATTTTGGATCAGATTGTTCCAATCCACTATCTTTTTGGTCTGTCCAATCCATCCAAATTGATTTTGGACTGGACGGGGTCCAGTCCAAAACCGGTCCATTGACACTCTTATTCCCCGTGACCTATCATGTTTAAAGATGTATGACATGACCCACCATCGAATAGGTAGTTAACGGGTCAGCTAATGTAAGTCTTGTCCGAACTATAATGAATCAGCTACATGAATCCTATTTTGTTATTCCATTTTATTGAGTGCCATAGTATTAGTGTTATTCCATTTTATTACTACTATTAAAATTTTACAAAATCTGATGTATATTTTCCACATTTATAGGCCTTATGGCGCATCTTTTTTCTCAGTTCAGTTTGAAAAGGTTGCAAGTATAAATATGTTCAGTTCAAAACCTTGTATATAGTATTTCTAAATTGGATGTTGGATTGGGCCAGAGTTTTTTGGTTATTGTTGATAGGCCTACCTAAACCTCCAGCTTTGGACCAGACACTTTTGCAGCCCAATACAAAAATCAGCTAAATCCAGTGTAATGGCTGGGATTGGGCCTATGGGCTCAGGGGAGTTGATTGAATTTATGTTTGCTCATATTTTGCACGTCCACCTTTTATTTAAGTTTTACAGCTCAATTTAGAATAAAAAAAATGTCATTTATTAAAACTAGGGGTGGCAATGAGCCGAATTTTTTACGAATTGCTCGAGTTCGGTTTGTGAAAAGTTCGGAACTGAGCTCGAGCTCAATTTATAGGCTCGATTAATAAACGAGTCGAGCTCGAATATATATAATAAAATTATATAAAATAATATATATAATAAAATTATTACAATTCTTAATTTTTTAAATATCAAATAAAAGATATTTTTTATATATAGTTTTTTATTTTTATAAAATATTTTCCCTCAAATCGAGCTCGGGCTCGAGCCTCATACTATTCGGCTCAGCTTGGCTCAAATCCACCCCTAACTAAAACACCTCCTATACTTTCTTATATTTATTAAAATCTATTCTATAGTTTGTGTTTTACTAAAACAACCCTTATAGTTTGCAAGTGACGAACTTGACCTCTTGTTAGATGAAAGTTGAAAATGACAGTTTTAATCGTAACAACCATATAAGCAAATTTAGTTAAAAGAAAATAAAAATAAAAATGTCATATTTGCCCCTATAAAACATGGTGCAAACTCTCATACCATGGTTGTGTTTGCTCCATGGAGCAAACTCTCATTTTCTAATGACAATATAAACAATTCTTAAGAGAAGGTCAATTAAATAAATCCCAAACTATATGGATGTTTTAGTAAATACAAACTTTAAGAAGGTCAATTAAGGCATCTATATGATGTCCAATAATAGGATGTATTCATGGTTCAAAGTATGGATATTCTAGATACGAAAAAAAGAAATCGTGTATTCAGAGACTGTTTTTTTTATTTTTTATTTTTTTTTAGTTTTGATAATTTCAGCATACATATTACGATAAATAGTAATGTTTAAGGGCCAACTCTAATTATTTAGTGTTTTGATGACCCTGAAAATCAATAGGTACTGCATCTATACTATATTATATTATATAGCAATATAGGTCACATCAGCAGCCCTCTCCTCCTATTTACTTCAATCTTGGCTTCTCCTTAACTCTCTCCTTTCTCCCTTACCCTTCTTATCTCTCTCATTATTTCTCTCTCCTCCCTTACTTTCCCCTACCCAGTCCTCCCATTAAGCCACATGGCAAAGCTCCAAATATCTCCCATCAACCCAAATCCCGTTATAGGTGGGAAATCCCCAAAACACCTATGTATAGATAGCCTATGCTCGTCGACCCACAAGGTCATAATCCCCATGCGAGTTGAATCTGATCAAGCACTTAAGAGTTAAGATTATCATTTGAAATTGAGTTTGATTTTGAATTTTGACAAATAAATACCATTTGCAATCTTAATTACAACAATAAAATTTTGAAAAATAACTATAAATATTTTAAAAAATCATTAACAAGTGTATCACCTAAAAATAATGCTTGGATTGGACTTGAGTTTACCCAGACCAATTGAGCCTCAATCTAAATTCAGAAAAATAGATAACACTTACAAAATTGCAATCCCAAATCCTAGTAACATTAATTTAAAGTCCAATTGAATTTAGAAATAATTACATCAATAAAATTTTAAAATTAATTGATAAAAAATTAAAATGCGTAAACAAATATTTCACCTAGAATTGCTTGGATTGAACTTAAACTTGCCCAAACCAATTGAGTATTAATTTGAATTTAGACAAATGGATAACATTTTATATTTTGCAATCTTAAATCCTAATTATATTAATTTAAAATTCAGTTAAATTTAATAATAATTATGCCAATAACATTTTAAAATTAACTAATAAAAATATAAATTTCATAAACAAGTAACTCACCTAAAAGTATTACTTACTTGAACCTAACCAGATCCCCAAACTTGTGAGTTAACCAATTAGGAATTCCATAGGCCATAGAGTTCCTCCTGACTTCTACTTAATTAATTTCTTTTAATATATTGTATGTTATAAATTATTTTATACAATATATTATATCATACCACATATTTTATTTCCTATATAAATATAACCCATTCCAAACCCTATAGGTTTGATAAATACATCCTATTAGGGTCAGGACGGATTGAATATCCAAAAATTATACACCATTCATCCCATGTCTATACCTATCGTTTGTATTGATTGTATGGATTGGTCCATATCAAATTCATATTTTATTGTACCATCTAGCCCATTAATTCCCATGTGCCTTTTCTCATTTTTATGCCCCATTAATTGTGGTCCTTTAGCTTTCAAATTTCAAATTGCCCATCAGTTACCACTTACCACCATTAATGTCGTTAATCATGGATTTTTAAATCTTGCCATTTATTCCCCTGTTATTATAATACAAATTAAAAAATGTTAATCCGCAAGCTATTAGAAGGACTTTTATAGAGGTTATACTTGAATTTTCGGACCTCGAGCTGGGCTCAGGCCTTAGAAATTGGGTTTTTTTTTTTTTTGGCTAGGCCCAGGCCTAACATTCAGGTAGCTCAAATCCAACCCAACTACACACACACGTAAATTTTGCATATATATTTACCTATATACATATATATTTGTATATGTATTTACATATATACGTACATATATGTATATAAACTTACATATATGTATATACATATATAATTTTAAAGTGGGTTCATTGACCAACTCGAGTTTGGTCCGGGCCCAAGCCCAACCTGAGTGCATAGTGCAGGCTAGGCTCGGGTTGAGAAGATCGGGCTCAATTCGATAGGCTGGACCATGTTTAAGGTCAATCCAGGCTCAACCCTAAAAATTAAGAGTAAGGCCCAAGCTTGAGGTCAAGCCCAAACAGTCCAACCTAGGCTTAGCCTGCATTGAAATTTGATGCACTTGGGGTTGGGCTCAGGCCTAGGTCAAGCTTAGGTTGGTTAATCAACCCACACTAAAATTTGATATAATGTATGCCTATATAGTCTATATGTATGAATACATGTATGGTGTACAAAATAATAATAAAAAAAAATGCATGTATGCACTTATACATGCAAATATGTGCCTATATATACATATAGAATTGAAAATCTAAGCCTAACCCATATAAAATTACAGGTTGGATTGATATGGGATTGGGTTTGGCCTGCCAAAGTTGCATCCCTACTCTTTTTTTTTATGCACAGAGTTCTCCCAAAAAAATAACAGAAACTAATAAAAAAAAATTAATTTGCCCTATTGTCTTTTCATTAAATATATATCTGTATTAAAATCACCCACAGTCAAGACTTACACCTTTTCATGCCTCACGCTATGCCTCATGCCTCGAGGTTTGAGGCATATGCCTCTTTTTGACAAGGGCCTAGGCATTACATCAAAGTTGTGAGGATAGTGTGCCTTATGGCTTAAACAATTTAAAACAATGATTAAAATAATATAAATTTCATTTAGGCCATGTTCGTTTTTCATAAAGTGAAGGGGAAAGTTTGGTCAATCCCATTGACCAATTTATCTGTATTCGAATTTTAAAATCATATGAAACCCACGTTAAGTTTAATTTTACTGGGTATCAGTTTCGCGGGTAAACGATACCCTTGCGACACTCGGGTATATTGGTTTTCCAAGTGGAGGGTAAATAGATAAAAAGGAAAATCTCAAAATTGCCCCCACAAGATAGAGTGTCTCTTTGACTTTTTTCCCGGATCTCGGCTCTGCGTTTCTCCTCTCACCTCTCGGCTCTGCATTTCTCCTCCTCTTCGGCTCGTATTCTCTTCACCAACGCCCAACGTCTTCCTCTCTTCATGGAAAGAAAGAAGGCGAAGGACGCAATAATTCTTTTAGATTCATGGCGATTTTTCTCCGAAGAAGCAAGGTACTTGGTTTTTTGGGCTAGTTCAGCAGATCTTGCAATACAATGTTGTCTAATTTCATCTTTGTCAGCTAGATCATGCTGAGATTCTCAGTGCTTGAGTTTTAGCTATTCATGTTTGTTTTATTGGTTCTGAGCTGAAGATCTTAGGGTTTTCTCACTTATTAGATGAAGAGGTCGAAATCTTATAGTTGCATGGGATCCTGAGGTGGATCTAGTGTAGTTCGGTGTGTTTCATTCGTGGTCTGTAGTAGCTTTATTTCTTTTAGCTGGAGAAGGTGTATAATGTGCTCTCTTTTATGTTTGTGTGGACTATACCAACTTTTCTGGTTTTTTTTTTTCGGCCCTGTATGTGTTAATGGCGGGGATATGATGTAGATCTAGACTGATTCGATTCGCTTCAGCTAGTTCTTGTTTTGAATATCCTTTTTTTTTGGAGTCAAAAGGAGTTCTCTACATTGTTAAGTGTGAACTAACCTTTTATATTTGGTGTTTTAGTGATCTCGTGTAATTTGTAATTATATAGTTATTTGAAGTTTTCCCATTTTGCAATTCTTGTCTTAGTATCAGTGAGAAGGTCAAAAGGGAACAAATTAGGCTATCTGTTCCTTATTTGGGTTTGTATCTGAATTTGATATTTATTTGGGTTCGTTCAAAGGCTTTATTATTTTTTGAAATGGTAATAATTGCAGTACACTGATCTTGCTAACAGGCATGAGTTGTATATGCTAACCAACATACTGTAATTATAAATGTTTCAGAAGCTTTTGGACTCTGGTTTAAAAATGTTGACTCAAAAGGCATGATGATTATAGTATTTGGTCAGTTTCATGGATAAACATTCTTAAGCTTAGCAGTTCATTGTAATGGCCATGGGTGTTTGGACAATGTTATCTTCTTAGGGATTTTTGCCAATCCATTGTAAGATACACCTTCTTTGTTCCCAATCTAAGAAGCGTCTTCTCAGGAATTTTTGCCTACGTAAGGCAAAAAGAGAAAAAAAAAGAACTTTGTTTTTAGCCAAAGTATATGGCTTCAGTTGAAATATCTTCAATTTCCAGTTCATAAATTTCCTAACATCTTCAGTTACTGATAAAAAGAAAATTCCTAACATCTTTGCGGTATATCCTAAAGCTTTAACATTAGGATGTTAGATTTCTGTGAACTATGATAAATGGTTAAGGATGTTTATTTGTTGGGCACATCACTTATTTATCCCATTTTCTTCAGACACCAACAAACTATCAAGGGTTAGATTTCCATACACGTGCACTACAACAAAGTAAAGTTCATCTTTCTTGGGATTAGGATGAGCCTCAGCGTTTGAAGACCTTAAGATGGAAATTAAATGATGATCAGGTATGTGAATTCATACACTTTTTTTTCTTTAGCCATCTATGCTACCAATTGTTCTATTCTATGGACTATAATCTATGTCTATGGTTTCACCATTTTGTGTACTGGAGTTTATGGGGAGAATAACAAGTTATTTTGGAAATACTAAACATGCTTATACCACCTTAGGGATTTAGTAGAAGGTTAAAAGCATTTTCAAGCTACTTAAATGGTGCAATTGCTATTACCTTAAAAATTTTGTTTCCTTTATTTGTTTCGTTGTCTTTCTCTTCCCAAACCCTGGGACTTTGAGCAGATTATCCAATTTGAAAATGAAAAGAAAAGTCATTGTAATATGGGTTGGGTGTTTTGCCTTGTATTGGGCATGCTCCTTGTTCACAACTACTTGTTGGATCTTCTACTTTAAATCATTAATGAATTTTTCTTGTTGATTGTTATTTGATGATAAAATGATAAGAAAGTCAAAATTGTTATAAAATTAAAGTACAGAAGGAGAATTTGTTACTATTAGCCAAAGTTAAGGAGAGACAACAGAATTTGCCCTAACAAGTATTGTAGTTTGAGCTGGTAAAAAAATTTTCTGGTTTCAATTTACATTCTGCTTTAGCCCCACGTGAGGTTTGCAGATAAGTGATTGTCTGGTTCTGATAAGTTAGGAGTAAGAAATCTCCATCTTTATGTAAACATCTAGGTTCTTGTCTCATAAGGAACAAGGAATGCTGCTAAAGATAATTGTAGTTTATCTTTATCATTTGAACTTAAATTCCCTTTTTTTTTTTTTAATGAAAAGGAAATGATTCAGTTGAGTTTGTTCATGCAGAAAAGCTTGTGGCAGAGAGGGTGGTTCAGTCGAGGCAGTTCTTGGAAAGAATCCTGAGGTCCATTATATTTTTATGTTTGTACCAAGGTCTGCGATTCTAATTTATTGTAAATTCTGTGATTTATTTTTGGCCCTGCTCTTAACCTTGGCAATTCGTTTTTTCCTACCTGGCTTGGGGCTCTGTAAATTTTTTCACCAAAATGACCTGCCTTGAAACAATGACTAGCTATGGGCTAAGCGGGGGATTCTTTAACCATGCATCTAAGGCCTATTAGGCCTGTGTCTTGTGCAAGGATAAGCGCACAACCGGGATTGGAGCATGATAGCGACTGTTGATAGAAGAAAGTGAAGAATGCCTTTGTGAGTTGGTGTTGAGATTTTTATCCTCCATACTTGGGTATTCCAAGAGTGTGCTGTTTGTTTTCTTTTTATAGATAGAGTGTGTTGTTGTTGGAACTTGAAACGTTTGATACCAATGTATTATTTATTACCTTACCGTACTCTTGAATTTGTATTTTAACTTACCGGAAAAACCGGGAACCACAAATCTTCACTTCTTTCATTACAGGAAGTAGCAGAGAAACTTATGTTGCATGATCTTATAAGCATTGACATTTTAAACTCTCCTTTGCTATTTGTTATTTTTGAACCTTCAATGGTTCATTAAATAACCAGAACTAGTTTGATTTTTATAAAGAAAACCAGAAATTATGACAAGTCTTAAATGCCCAAAATTTGAGCCCAAAATAACGGTAGATGGTGTTTTCTTTTATCGTTCTAGAGGAAAATTTTGAATTAGGCTCAAATTAGGTTTAAAAGAAGAGGCAGCATGGTTTATTTCCAAAAATTTTAGGGGCATTTAAGACTTTGTGACATGGTTTTCAAATCCATGTCCAAAAAAACATGGATTTGGGCCAAAGGGTAAAATTGGAAAGAGATGCAAAAATAACAATTTACCCAGTAAAGTGGGTGTTGCAAAAGAACATGGGAAAATAAAGTATTTCATTTACCTAGGTAAATCAAACAAAAAAAAACATGGGTAAATGCACCTACCCAGGTAAGTGGTAAGTGCATTTACCCAGGTAAATATGTTTCCGAAAAAAGAACATGGCCTTTTAACTTGGGGGTTACATGTATTAAACAAAATAATTTTATATATAAATATTTAACAAAAAATTAGAAAGATTATCGTTAAAATCGGTATTTTATAAAAAATTCATACTGCTAGCTGATTAGCATTGCAATATAAAGCAGTCATTGAAACAACGAACCAAATTTTGGAAGCCTTATTTCCATCTTTTTTTTAGACGTTTTCAGTATTGAAATTAAATTTTAAGATGGGAATTAATAGAACAGATGGTCTCATACTGGATTCTTCCAGCACTGGGATACTGAATGTATCATGTATGGAAACATTTTTCTCCAGATTAAATTGGATTTTGTATCACTCAAGCCCAATTTGGAACAGAGTTCCTCTTTTAAAGAACACTTAGGTTGCAAATTCTGGGGGGGGGCAAAGACCCAGATGTTAAGACTTAAGGGATACGGATAGGACAGATACAAACATACTCATTCATCACATGTAATGTCTGGAACCTGAACCTGATAACCAAACCAAACAGTTGTCTAGGCCATAGGTTGAATGGTTCGATGGCTGGATTTAATGATCAAAACCATAAAAAAAACCAGGATCCAGTCAGTTGTCCTGGTCACTAGGTCACAAAGGATCATGGGGCCTGTTATTCTCTGTTGAATTAGCCAGCAATAAGTTGGTACAACTTCAGTCGAACAAATGCCTTGAAGTGAAAGAACAGCCAAAAGATGATTGTTTCACTAAATCCAATGGAAGTATAAAACAGTATGTTGACTTCAAAATGTACAAATAGGAACACTCAAACAATCAATGACAGAGGGAAGTAGTTCCTAGTATCCTGAAATCTAACCAATTCTAATCCGACTTGTGTGATAAAGATTCAAACACCTAGACAAATCTAAAAGCACCATTGCTTGTATTCACTGCAGCCAAAGCAATGATAGTTTGCAAAAAGTTCACGTTAATAATATGAGTTGTTATCAAAAAATATATGAATTGCTATCTGGGGTTGTAACAGTTGATGAAATCAATTCTAAATTCTTAGAGGCCAGGATCAGGATCCACTACATCCCTTAAAATGTTGGGGCTGAATAACAGCATACCATACTGAACCACACACTGTACAGTGCAATCATGCACAATATTCAAGTTTGCATATTGATGATGCATGACAAGCTCCAATGTCTTCTTCACAGTAGTATCAGAACATACTTACATGGAAAAACCATAGAAGTATAAAGGATATTACCAAGCATGTCATCAGGATGTTACAAAGTGGCTGTCCCCGCCAGCATCCCCTCCTACCAGAGTAGTTTGTACTTCTAGCCCCCAATCTCCTCTCATTCCATTCCCACATGAATTTGTTGTCCCCCACACCTGTGATATTTTTGGCAGTCTCTCCACAAATTTCACAACATCTACATGAAAAAAAAAGTAAGATATTAATATAGTATGTGTTAGAGAATATCAACCTATTCAAGGACCTCACCTAATAGCTTAAGCTTTTAGGTTGAATGGTTCTTTGAGA